CTGGTTTCGGATTAAAAAGTTAAATATTTTGGGAGAAGTCTTAAAAGTTTTTTTATATATTTTTTGATATTTTTTCTTACATAAGAACGGGTTTTGATCGATTTTAATCAGTACTGCGCCACATAACTGATGATTGGAAAATTCTGTGAATCAGCGAATATGAAGTCTGAAAACTATTGAATAAAACTAAGTTTTTTTAAATTCATTCTGCATGTTGCAAATTATATATTCTAGATGTTGGATATACTTACCAATTTTATCCAAAAGAAGATTATATAAAGTTTATCAAAATCTGATGTGAATAACTTTTTAGAAAAGAGTTTTTAACCTTTTATATACTATAAATTATTTTTACAAATATTAGTAACCTATCAGACTACTAATAATAAGTAAAATAAAATTCTCTGATATTTTAACAATATATCTTTTAAAAAATCAGTTTATAATTATAAAGTATTATTAAACATATCAATTACCAATATTTATATATTGCTTATCATGCCATATTTAACTGATATATCATTATTTGATATCTTATCATTCAACTAGTAAAATTTGTTTTTACTTCAATAAGAAAATGCAAGTAAACAGATAAAATTAGCAGATAAAATTGAGAAATTTATTAATAAAAAGAAATTCAATTCAATGCAACAAACTACTATATTTGTATAAATGTTTTAATTTTCTATGATAATAGTTTTAATTTTATAATTTCTAGTAATAATTTATAATAAATAAATGTAATATTACAACTTTATATAATAATCATATGATATATAATTCTATCATTATATACCCTCTCTAATTACACAAAACCCTACTTACTTATAAGATAGGTCATTTTCCAGACTTATGGTAAAAATCATATATAAAATTTTTTGCATAAAAGAAAATTTTATGTTATATTGTTATTATACTTGTAGCCGAAACCTTTTCACGTGATTTTCGGCCACATCTTTAAATCAAAATTAAGTTAAAAAATGATAAAAATTAATCTCTACATCCAGCCGAAACTATAATATAAAGTCTTTGAAGTTTCGGATGGATTTCTGGATAGTTTTTAATAATTTATTATAATTAAATTACTGAAAGGCTGAAACCTTGTCCAGCTTCATAGAGGTTTCGGCTACATGTATAATTATTATAGTTTTTTTCCTTTTTAGTTAATTAACCAATAGAATTTAAGAAAAAAGTAAAATAAAAACTATTAGTAAAAAGCTAATTTTCTATAATAATCTTTATTATAAGTAAGTGGATTTTAATTACACGCTTATACTTAATTCTGAAGATATGCAATTATAAAAAATTGACTATAGTTTCAACATATTAAAATTGCTAAAACTACTATATAAAATTACTAAAATAGTTTTGGCATGTTAAATTTGTTAAAACTAAATTTACTAATAAACTAACTATATTTATATAAAAAAATAAATATTATTTTTAATGTAATAATACATTTGTAAGTCTTGCGGTTTATCAAACAAAAACATTAGAGATACACGCTAAGGTAATACGTTTCATATGTAGTCACCATGATCACCTAATAGTACATATGCAGGATTTCATAGAGAAATGATGAATGGTTTACAAATTAATAATATTAGTATAGTTATTTAGTTCTTTACTTAGGTATATTACTAATATTATTCTAATAAATTTATAAATGTACTATAGTTATTAAAAAAAAAAAGTAATAATATATTTATATATATTTATATAAAAAAAAATTATTATTTGAATGTAGTATATTTGTTATATTACTAATTATAAAATGAAAAAAAATTGTACATATGTAATGAAAAAAAATCATATATATGTATATAAATCATATTTTTTTATCAGCCTTATTATACACTTACATAGAATTTATTATATTAAATATTATTATTATTAATATTATACAATTATTACTAGGAAACAGAAACCGTTGTAAGTCCAGAACGAAAGATTTTATATAAAAATCCAAATATCTTTAAAAATTTAATTTGTACAAAAAATCTGGTATCCCTAAAAAAATAAAAATGAAAAATGAAACGTTAGAAACGTTTCTTTAAAGTTAAACAAATAAGAAAAGCCCTCACAAGTCACAATTTACCTTTAAAAGTCTGGCATATACAAAAAACCTGCGTTTCTAGATAAAAGAAAATAAAAATAAAACGTTAAAAATGTTTCTTTAAAGCAAAACAAATAAAAAAAACTCACCAGTCCGTTATGTACAAGAAATCCAGAAACCCTAGGAAAAAAATAAGAAAGTCGTTTAAAGAAAAATATGCTTACTAACTGAAATCTAAAAAAAAAGGTAATCATAGCTTGTTTATTTTTGATGTAGCATGAAATTTCAATACACATCCTGTGCGGACCAATCAGAAATGACGCGTGCGAACAACTGGAAATCGCTACGTGACACTAATTGTCATCAGCCTTCGTAAAATTATATAGTCCTTTGCTACGCTCTGGACAATTATTACTAGAAAATGGAAACCGTTGTAAGTCTGGAGTGAAAAATTTTGTATAAAAATCCAAATATCTCTAAAAATCCAATTTGTACAAAAAATCTGGCATCCCTAAAAATAAAAATGAAAAATGAAATGTTAGAAATGTTTCTTTAAAGCAAAACAAATAAAAAAAGCAATTCACCAGCCCAGTATGTATAAGAAATCAGAAACCCTAGGAAAAAAGCAAGAAATAAAATGTTAGAAAATTTTCTTAAAGTCGAACAAATAAGAAAAGCTAATTATATATTTACCTTTAAAAATCTGGCATGTACAAAAATCCAGTGTCTCTAGAAAAAATAATAATAAATGAAACGTTAGAAACATTTCTTTAAAGTCTGATAAATAAGAAAAGCCAATTCACCTTTAAAATCTAACATATACAAAAATCACAGTATTTCTAGAAAAATAATAACAAATGAAACGTTAGAAATGTTTGAAACGTTTCTTTAAAGTCAAACAAATTAAAAACCTCTTTTTCCAATTACTTTTAAAATTCTGGTATGTACAAAAAACCTGGCATCTCTAGAAAAAATAATAATAAATGAAACGTTAGAAATGTTTCAGTCAAACAAATAAAAAAACCCCTTATAATTTACCTTTAAAGTCTAGTATATACAAGAAATCCAGAAATCTTAGAAAAAAAATAAGAAAAACATTTCTTTGAAGTTGATTAAAAGAAAAATATACTTACTAGCCGAAATCTAAAAAAAAAAAATAAAAAAAAGAGATTATCAGGTAATCATAAATCTTTTTACTTGTTTATTTTGTCTAGCACAAAATTTCAATACACATTCTGTGCAGACCAATCAAAAATGATATGTGCGGACAACCAGAAATCACCACGTAACACTAATTGTTATTGACCTTTGTAAAATTATATAGTCCTTCACTACACTCCAGACAATTACTAGCATCAATTGTATGGTTCGATATGTGATTAATCACCAAAATTAGACACAAATTATCCTCAAAAAAATAACATCAGAAATTTTATATAATAAATTAATTTTTTTTATCATAATATTCTGCTTTATTATAAAGCATTTTAATATACTTATTTATTTTTATTATGAAACTTCAAACTTTAATAAACAAAATAAAGATGATAAAATTTAATTTTATGCATTTTTTTTACATTCATAAAATAATTTTTTTTTAGGGTTCTATGTAAAGTCAAATTACCAGTTTTAAACATTAAAAATCATAATAATAAAAAAGTTGTTCCCCATAGCAAAATCTATATATTCTATTAAACTTTAATATAGCCATAATCAAATTCCAATAAAATCGTCAAAGTTGAATGTAAAATTTTTCAAAATTTTTTGTCATCTAAGAAATACAACTTTTGACTAATAGTTAATCTTCAATCTTATAATATGAAATTAATAAATAATAATTATTGTCACATAAATTATGATTTAAGCTTTTTGCAAAAAAAATTTTATTAAAATAACTTCATTTTTCATAAAATTAGGTGAGAACTGAATTTTCAGTAAAATTGCAGGCAAATTTATCACCATTTAAGGGATAGAAAATACCTCTTTAAATATTTTGTAATTGTACATTAATCCTAAAAATATATAACTACTACCATTTGATTCCTCTTAATAAGATAAATCCAATAATATAAATTAATTAAATTTTAATCACTGGATATACAGAAAATACCTTTTTAAATATTTTGTAATTGTACATTAAATCCTAAAAATATATAACTACTACCATTTGATTCCTCTTAATAAGATAAATCCAATAATATAAATTCATCGAATTTTAATCACTGGATATACAGAAAATACCTTTTTAAATATTTTGTAATTGTACATTAAATCCTAAAAATATATAACTACTACCATTTGATAAGATAAATCCAATGATATAAATTCATTAAATTTTAATCACTGGATATCAAGTTATCCTTGATATATGATTTTAAAACTTTAAATATACAAAAATTTACTAAATATTATGCAAATCTAAATTATTATGTATGAAATTACCCAATTTTACACTACGTGTTTTACTATATTTCTTGTTAAAAATGCTATCCTTCAGATAAGATATTATAAAACTATTAATAGCATATTTCATAGAATTAAAGCAATTATTGCTACAAATAGAAATAGAATTTATTAATAAATAAAGATATAATGTAAATATTTATAAACTATTTTTACAATATTATATATAAAGTTGTTTCACTTTGAAAAGTGACCGGATGATTTTGACCACCATCTGAGAAAAAATATCTAAATTTTTTTGTCAATTTGTTGACTATTTTCTATAGTACAGTCAAGGTTAATTTGACAACTAAGTTAACCGCGCCACGTAGCAACATATTCAACATATTCGGCGTAACCTATCACACATTACAAGGGATGCCATTACCAATAGGTATTACGTTACATTACGTTGTACGTTATATTACTACTGCGTAACCAAAAAATGATATGATAAAATTTTGTAAAAAAAAATCACACCCAAATTTGGTACATCAAACGCGATAAATACGGTCTTTACACACGTGACTAAAACACGAACATTAGCCAAAGCAGTTGTAGCGACCGTGACCCATAAATAGTGGTTGTAGTTGTTGTTTCAACACGCCTTTCCTTTAATTTCTTATATTTCAAAAAAAAACTCATTTTTTTAACATTATACTGTTCGCTCCCTTTGAGTTAACCTTAATTAAAAAAAAAAGAAGATCTATAGCAAAATTTTCATAAAATAAAATGTCTCAATCTTATCAAATTCCGTTGGAAAAAGAAAAGGATAATAAGACTTCACTCCAGGCACGAAGGTCAGATTCTGTTTCTGTTACTATGGTGTCGGCTACACCACCAAATTCCGCGGCTAAACCAATTCAGCAACTCCCTGCCTCTACTCTAAGTCACCTTGAAAATATTTTTGAGGCTGTCAAGAAACAGGTATGCAAAGATTATAGTAAAGAAGAAATAGCATTGTTATGTTCAACATGTTAGAATTTGGGGTAGATAAACGATTTTATTTATTTTTATTTACTCTTTGGAAACTTTTGAAAAAGCCAATAAATAAATATATATATGTTACTTTCACTTTCTTCAAACCCATTAGTTGGTTGTACTATGATAACGTTTATTATTTATATCAAATTAGAGAATTTATGATAACAAATACTGTGAAATATGAGATTATGGAAATTAAAACCAATCAATAAATCATATTGCCTACAATATATTTAATACCTTCCCAATTTTTTTATTAATTTTATAGGTTTCAATATGGGGGGAACGTGCTAGGTGGAAGATTGATTTAGTTTTGTTACCTGCTGAAGAAGAAGAAGATACAGAGAATTCAAATCAAGTTGGAGGTTTTTTAATTTCTATTCTTTCTTTCTTTCTTTCTCGACAATCTCAAATTATATCAATATTTTTACGATTTACCTTTAATATTTTTGATTAAATGTTTCAAGGATCCTCAAATCAACAACAGTCTGGTTTACACACTCCTACAAGCGATAATGCGGGTGATACACCAGTATCAGCTCATGGTCAGTTACAATTAACAACAATATCAACGCAGACACAGCCACCACAAGTTCAATTTTATACACAGGTATGTTCTTTTAATTATAATTATTAATGTTCAAAAGATACTTAAGAATACAATTTTTTGGTTTAAGGCTGAAAATGTAAGAGTGGAAAATCCCATGCGTTATACATTAGACGATGATACTATAGAAAAATTGGACATTGAGACGGCAAAACGTATGGTAAGTTCGTGTTTAAGAATGATTGCGATGAGCTCCGTACATTACAATTACATAATGCGATCTGGTTTATCTCTTTAAAGCTAAAAGAAGCAATACTTCACATTCGTGCCTATGAATCAGCATTAAATCGCGTGTCTCGCGAATCAGAGACAAAGGTTTGTCGGATATTTTGCATTATTGTTATTCGTTTAATCATGAATAAACAAGTAATATAATCTATTTAGGTAAAGGAGGCACAAGCGAGAGCAAAAAAAGCAAATGAACAAATTGAAAGCATGGCGAAATTCCATTCGATAAGAGTTAGCAAATAATCATCAATTTTAATGGTTGTTTAAACATCTTTACAAACCTTTAATTGTTGTTTTTGTTCTTTTCAGGAAAAAGAAAAGACCAGTAAGCATTCTGTAGAACTTAAGATATTACAAGAAGACGTTAAAATTTTAAGTCGAAAATATAAAGAAGCAAATGCACAATTAGCTGATGTTAAAGCAAAATATACTAGTTTACAAGAACAAGTAATTCGTAGTAAAGAGGTTAGTAAAAAATATTCATAACTTTATTTTTTTTACACTATAAAAAGAAGAAATATTTGGTTCAATATATATGCTTCACTTTGCATCGATAATGTTAATATTTTACAGACAAAGAAAAGAAACATGAAAAGTTAAAAATTTTTTATATGTAGTGGATTCTACAACAATGATAATTGTATTTGAGTGATATTCCAAGGAATGAAATTAAATATTTTTCTGGAATGTAATACAGGTACAATCAAAAACAACAGATATGGTTGGAAAAATTGTTGAGTATGTTCCTCAGCAACAGACGAATGGATATTTAACTTATAATTTTCCATATGTACAAAAGATGCCTCCGCAACAGAATCCACAACAATACCTACAAGTAATTATATTTATCATAAAGATCAGACATAAAATAGTTATTATGATTTCTAATTTACCTTTTACATATTCACAGCAGAATCAGCCACCTCAACAATTAAACGTGAGATATTAAATATCATTATTTTATTAAAAAAACTTTTCTTTTATTTACATCTTTTAATCTCATTAGCCAACCCTTCCTAGCTCATCATCGGCCTCGGTGCAATATTCAAATGGTCGACCTGTTATTCCGCCAGCATATACCTCACAACAAGATCCAAATCGTCGAAATTTCCCTCCTTATCAAATGACACAAACAATTCAAAATAATTCATCGCGTTATCCAACCTATCCTTCAAATCAACTTCACTCTGAAAATAATCGTCCGGTATTTTCCCCGTATTCTTTCCCACAGCATCATCAGCCGCCGCAAGATATCCGTCAAACTCAACCAGCTACTTACCCAATACAGATGAATACTCTCCCCGCTTCAACCCAACCAAGAGTAGTGCCTGCGTACACTCATATTCAGCAAAACGTTCCTGCTACTCCCACTATAGAAACATCGATTTCAACGTATGTTCCAGTTCAAAGATCGGAACGTAGTGGTTTAGATAACCTTTCATTGGCCGCAGAATTGATATTATCTTCGGCTATTCCTTCATCCACATCGATATCGAAGCAAGATGGTCAGCAAATTATTTCTAATTCTACTCCAAAAAAAAATTCTAGCAGAGAAGTATCGTCATCGTCAGACTGTTCAACAATTTCAATGGAAACGCCAATAAATGTTTCCACCTCTGCAGCTAGTACTTCACTTGTTGAAACACATATTAACATTAAACAAACTAATGGAATGTCAACCCCATCGACACCACCACCTAGATTTAACACAAGACTCGTTAACTCATCAAAGAACATATCTACTCCTGATACAATAACAGTGATAGCAGATGACGATATTGGATATAAGAGTACACCAATTTATGCAGATGGACATTCTATACATACATTATCACCTTCTATGGAGGTATATGAAGATAATCATTCATCAAGTGGTGATGAGACGGATGAATTTATACATGGTGAAGGAAATCATCAAGTTTTGGAAGAAAGTAAATCTGATGTTAAAAGTGACTTAACAACAGAGAGCATTAATGTAGATGTAACTTCTAATCATCATAAAGAAGAGTCAGAGGAAGAATCAAATGGGCCGCCTAAGAAAAAACGACGTTTATCAAATGTAAAACGCGTCCTCCCACCTGTGCAAATTTTTTAATTTGCTTTTATTTTATTTTATTTTTTACTATTGTTATAATGAGGAAGACAAAAAAGTAAGGAATTTTTTGAAAATTTTCCTTGATAATTTTTATTTTATTTCATTTGTTGCAAAAGTTTTAAGCTCAAAAATATATAACAAAAATTTTGTAATTATTCTTATGGGATGGGTGAGGTAATTTTTTCTTCATATATAATAAATTTTTAAAACTTTAGGATATTAAAAAAGTTTTTTTTTTCAAAATCTAAATCCTTGATTGTATAGAAAAGTATATTAATATCAGCTTGTTAATTTATTAATAGTCTTTAATTAAATAGCATGATAATTATATAAAATGACAAAACAATATTGAAAATGGGGATTAGAAAATTTACTATAATGATTTTGAAAAATGAATTTTAATATAAAGAAAAGAGAATAATTTTTAAATAAATTTAAAAAATCAATTTTAAGTTAAACTGCATTTCTTGTGAATAAAAGAATTTTATCATAATAGTTATTGCGTCAGTCACGCAAAGATCATGCTATTATTATTGTAAGAGTGTTAAAAAGTATAACTAAACTGTAAAACTTATTAAAGGATTAATTTGTAGTCATATTTAACCGATAAAAAAAACATCAATTATTTAGCCATTAACAAAAAAATCAGTCCGTCAAAATCAGCAATTTAGACTTTCCGCTTATTGAAACAAAATAATACAATTACTCATTTCTTGTCTGGTTTAGACATTAAAAGCATTTTTGTCATATTTATAAGTCATTTGATCTCTATTTGGAAACAAATCTTTTCATTCTTTCGTTAGGACGAAAATCAAATTGTAAGGAACTTGAAACAAAATTTTTGTTTTTAATAAGCAGCAAGAATGAATTTACGATCTCCTAAGTAAAAACGACGATTAGATTCAAGATATGATATTGCACGTGTAGTATCATTGTAGTATCATTGAATACAATATATTGAAGCAAGAGTGAAATTCTTCAGAGGACGAAGGATCTAAAGCAAGACCATTACTTTGGTTGAAGTTCTGAAGACATTCGTGCAAAAATTACTTCAAGCATTTCTTGCGCTTTTCATTCCAGCATACACGTCGTTGGGACTCGAAAATTGAATCCACGTCCACGAATTGTCCAAAATGAATTAGGATTAGGTCGGCAGAAAGTTGTTCTACATTTCCATCTTCTAAAACTATAGTTGATTATCTATCGATAACCTAAAAATAAAATACCTTAGCTGTAATTATAAAATAACGGTATATGAAGTACTAATTACAATTTTTTTTATTGCATCATTATCACTTATGTAAGCTAATCTATATTTACGAGTTGCTTGATTAAACTTCCAATTTGCTTCTCCTTGGATATATCAGTTTTTACTCGAAAGTCACATAATTTTCTCATGTTCAATACATTCCCACCTTCAGATGAAGAAGATCCTGAATAATTGTAGCCATCTCTTACCTCTAGATTATTTTCTCGCGTAAATTTTACATGACGACGAAAGTCACGTGATTATCATATCGAGTATTGAGAAAGGTAATAATAATTCGTACACAACCTGAACGATCATCCAGTTAGCCATCTAATAATTGCTTCATTATAACCTTGTACATCTTCTACATTGTTAGATACCGATTTTTTAAAATGATCAGGAGAGAAAGTGATGATATATTATAGAGACGATGAACTATTCAAATTTAATTGTGAAAAATATGTAAGAAATAAGGATAATTAACGAATGTGGTTATTTATAGTGGTGGAATCTTTTTGGGCAGTTCTTTGTCCTCCAAGTCCTTTAGGCTGCAGGTTACAGGATCTAGTGTTTCATTTTATTTTGTCTTTTTAACCTCAAACAAATTAATTGAATTTTTACGATGAAATTTTTCGATGATTAACAAACGATTCCTACAATGATTTCATTGTAGAAATAAAAATAAGATATAATATGGTTATTCATGAAAACCGACGAGACTTAAGCATGTTCATAAAACCTTGATTGCAAATTCTTCGCTTCGATGATTGTTTACTTGCGGACAAAGCTTTAAATAGTTATATAAACGAGATCAATTTGTACATGTCCTGACATTATATCCAGATATCCTAATTAACTAATTAACTGTCTGTTGATCAAACGACTGTAAATACAGATCATGTAGAGTATAACATATAACAGATCTCGCTATCTATTAAAAGAGATATAGATATTTCACGGGAAGCCGTAGATATCATTGATCATCACGGTTCCGCCGTGATGAGATCAAGGCTGATCCGTGAAATAACTGGTTTACTACCACGGAGTACAAATTGATCTTAAAACTAAAAGTAATTTCAGTATTATTAATCCAATTTGTCATACTATCAAAACTGAAATAAAAAAATTAGATGGGCACGATAGATAATCAAAAATCGGTTACACATGATTATAAAGTTATCTTATCCACAAGAGAAAAAAAGCACGCTTATATTTCAATACCTATTGTATATTTTTTTAATAATAAGAAGTTATTGTTAAGTTATTGTTAAAATAAAGTACTGCTTATTGCTTACCGTGAGGTAATGTTAAAAAAAAAATGTTATTGTTAAGGCAGTTTGAATAGATAAAATGATAAATAGATAGTATAATAATGTAATTTTATATTTATAATAAAGAACAAATAATTTATTATTATGAAAAAAACCTAAAAATATTTTAAAAATAAATATTATCCCTTCTTGAATAAAATTGTAAAAAATCATGCGAATATTCAATAATTATTTATGTTATTCATATTTCAGCTAATCAGAAATCTTTATCAAACTGTTATATTAAACAAGCTTTTTAATTGATCCGGCATAAATAATTTTAATCAGTATTGAAATCAAGTAATTTAAATATTAAGCTAAATATCGCCTAGGCGATGGGCAATCATCGCCTTTACCAGCATTAGGATGGCATTTTGGGCGGAGTTAAATTATATTCTTCCTAAGGGAATGGTAAATGAGGGAGAGTTAAAACTACAATGATGTTACACATCTTCCATTTTTAGACATTTGTAGTTAATATAATTCTAGCCAGAATTATGTTTTAATCTTACATTTCCTAAAATGAATGATGACATAGGATGGGAGGGGTCAAAAATCCTAAAATTTAAATCACATCATTTCTGGCCATCCTCTAATGCTAGTAAAAGTGATGATCGCCTAGATGATATTTAGTAATTTTCTATTAGGGTAATATGTATATACTTTTAAGAGTATTACTAATCTTAATAATTCCTCCCCTCCTTAAGAATTTAAAAAAAATAAACTTTTTTTATGAAATATATAAAATAAATATAATTGGATATTAATCGCATAAAAATTTGGTTTTAAAAAAAATTTTCATCATAAAAAATACAATTTAACTATAAAAATCAAAATTATGTAATTTTCTCAAAAACTATCTGAACAACTACCTTTTTTAACTTAATAAAACCTTTTTTTTTCATAATTTTACATATAATCTTATTATTAGATTACTATACAAGTCAATATTTTATTTTATTTTATTTTTTTTTTTTTT